AAAAAAAAGACCGCGATTGCGATCTGTGGCGGCAATTTGGCGGGAGGTCCTTTGCTCCGAGCAGGAGTGAGGGACCGTCCGCCGAATTGCCGCCGAATACCTGGACGTGTCGCCCCTCTCCGGAGGGGCCGCCCCAAGCACCTGCTTCCCAGGCTGGTGCCTGGAGCCGGCCCTGTCTGGAAGTAAATACGAAATTGCTGCTGCTAAAATTTGAAGATGACACAAAGATTGGCAGAGTGATAAATAATGAGGACAGGACAATCCTACAGAGTGATCGGTAAGCTGGGCCCATTCAAACAAAATTCATTTTTATGCAACTCAGAGCAAAGTCAACATCCAGAAACAAAGGTGCATGGCCAGGCCAGACCTACCAGTTCTGCGGTCCTCATTTTAAACAAGATGTTGGAAAAACTGGAGAGGGTGCAGAAAAGAGCTGCAAAAATTATTCGAAGGCTGGAAAATGCCCTACAGCGAGAGACTTAAAGAACTCAATCTGTTTCGCCTATCAAAAAAATCAAGAGGTGACTTGACTCGGGTGTTTAAGTGTCTTCATGAGGAAAAAACACCGGGTAGCAAAGGGCTCTTTAATCTACCATAGAAAGGAATAACAAGAACCAAACGCTGGAAGCTGAAGTCAGACATAGTATAAATTGTCTATAATACACTATAATGAATAGTCCAGACAATAAGGTCCAAATGAAGCACTTTGGCATTATTGAAACAAAATATTCAGAGAAGGTTGTTTTGCTAGTTCTGAAACGTCTTTGGGAAATTTCATTTCACAGCAAGTTTTGAGAATTTCAACTTTTCATTCCATTTTGGGGTGAAAGGAAGTTTTGACATGTCAGAATTTCGCACAGAATGGAAAGTTCAGGTTTTGATGAGCCGTGCTGAAGACAGAATGATTAACATCCTCCTGGGGTTTCACCACTATAGTCCTTGAGAGCTTCGTAAATCATGAATTTATCTTCAAAACACCCTTGTGAGGTGAGGGGCTGGTGGTATCCCCATTTTATACATGGGGACCTGAGGCACAGAGAAATTAAGATCACAAGTGTCCAGTAATTCTGGGTGCCCAATTTGAGATGCTTAGGACCTGCTTTTCAGAGTGCTTAGCATTACCCAGCACTGTATATGTTCAAGCACAGCTCCCATTAACTTCAGTTGCAGCTGTGTATGCTCGGCACTTCTGCTAATCAGACCCCAGAGCCTCAACGTTGGGTGCTCAAAAAATGAAGAACACACAAATAGTCATCACCAAGTATGGTGCCCAGCATCACATAGGAAGTCTGTAACATAGGCAGAACCCAATTCCTCAGAGGAGCATTCTCTGGCCCCATGATAAATCATTGTCACTTAGTGGCAATTTATAATCATTCATAATGACAATGAATCGTCCTAGGGCCAGGGGAAGAGCATGAGAGATGAAAAACCCCTGCCCAAATCCCTTCTCATTGGGGGGAACTGAGCCAGAGTCTCCCATATTGTGGGTCAGTGCCCTAGCACTGGGCTGCAGGTGATAAGGGAGTCCTCCCCCACCCTGGCCTATTTTGAATCTAGTCCTCTGACACATTTGTCGAAATGCCCAACTGGAAGTGAAATGTTTCATTTTGCCATTTTCAAAATATTTCAGGGTTTTGGTCCAGCCAAACCGATGTGGTGAACAAAACATCAATTTGCGAATAGTTTCAGGTCAACCAAAACGGCAATTTTCAGCAACTAAGCTACTTGCTGAAAAGAATTGCCTGGCTCTCCTCTTTCTTATGTTCCCCTGTGTGGATAGCAGGTAGATTCTGTTGTACATATTCCTTGGGTTCAACCCAGTCTCCCTGCTGGGCCAAATTGAGCAGATTATTTGCATGACCAGATTTTTGACCCCATAAGCCCCTTTTAGCAAATATCTGTCAACAGCCTTGGTGATTATGTGCAGAATAGTTTATACACACACACACACTTCAGCTTATGGGTTTCTCACAAGGTAGTTGCTGTGGCT